GGAAGGGGCAGCCCTCGCCGCCCGAGTCGCGCCCCGCCGCCTACGTCGTGTGGAAATCCGAGGTAGGCACGCCCGCCCCCGGGGGACGGGCACCCGCCGCGCCGCCCTCGCCCCCGTGGTCCCGCGCCGCCCGCCCGCCCCGGCCCCGCGCCGCACCGCCAGCAGCGCCCGGCACGCCGCCATCTTGGGCACCGGCGCGCGACTGGTGCGTATGACGTAGGGGAGGAGCCGGGGGCGGTGCAGAACACGCGCCCGGACTGCGCCCACCCGGGCAGCTCTGGCCACGCCCCCGGCCTCAGACTCGGAGCGCTCCGGCTTTGGTGACCCCAATGACACTCTCCAGGGCGATCTCAGTGAAACCGCGGTGCCCTTCTAGTGCCCTGAGCTGCTCTGTCCGAGTCCTTAGATACTCCGCCGGACTCTTCCCAGGGCCTTCCAGTCCTCCCTACTGCCCTCCCAGCCACTTAACACTGCCCCCAGGACTCCTTCCACTGCGCACCACCCCTTCTAGGTCCACCAAAGGCCCCTTCCCAATGCCTCCTGTCTCTCCACCATACTTCCCAGCACCGTACAGACCCTTCCCAATACCTCCATCAACACTCCACACCACAACCCACATCAACTCAAGTTTTAATTCAAACAACAAACGCCCAGGGCCAGTGTGTCCCCCACCTGGGGACCCTCACCCCGGGCTGGTCATAGTCCAGGAACCCCCCCCCCCACGAGATCTCCCCCTCATTTCTTCGCCTGCACGTGGGCACAGTCGTACTTCCCGCGTACGATGGTGAGTTTGACGCCGGGCAGGTCCTGGGTGCGCCCACCCTGCACCAGCACCACGTGGTGCTCCTGCAGGTTGTGACCCTCACCRGGCACGAAGGCGATCACCTCGCGGCCGGTGCTGAGCCGCACCCTCACGCAGCGGCGGTTGGCCGAGTTGGGTTTTTTGGGCTTTCGGATCAGGTTTTTCAGCACCACCCCTTTAATTTGGGGGCGGCCGAGAGTGGGGCCCGGTTTGCGGGGAGGGGGAGCGGGACGGCCGCGACGATGCATCTGGTTGAGCGTGGCCATAGCGGCGGATGGAGGAGGGGGCGGCGGCGACGGGAGGAGCAGCCCCGGACCTGCGGGGGGGAACATGGAGAGGGGTCAGGGGGTTTTGGGGGAGCGGCGGGTTTGGAGATGGGGGGATGATTTACGCACTGCAGCGGGGCAGCGAGGCCACGGCCCTGAGCACGGCGCGGAGCGACATCTCCGAGACTCTGAAGGGAGAACGCACGGTCAGAACTGCCGGGGGAGGGCACTGGGGACCAGGTGGGAGTGGAGCGAGCGGAGCCGCCACGCTCGTCTCAGTGCGCCGCCATCTTACCCCATCCGAGCGCACCGCGCTGCGATTGGATAAAGGGAAGGCAACTCTCCGTGATTCGTGCGGTAACTGCTCAGACTATCACTAAATCCCGCCCTAATCGCTGGTGGATCACAGTGCGGAGACCCGCCCCCTCAGCAGCGACGTCCATCTTAGATCCCGCCCCTCCCGCCTTGACCCCCTCCTCTCCTGTCTTAAACCCCGCCTTTTTTGTCATGAATCCCGCTTCTCCCGCCCTAAGCCCCACCTCAAAACGCCTTCCCCGCCCATATTCGGCTCCTCTCCGCCCTAGGCCACGCTTCTTATCCATATTCGGTTCCACGTACACCTCCCCTTGCCCATATTTAGCCCGACACGCCCCTGTCGTTCATGTCCCCACCTCTTGGGGCAAGGTCTGTCGCCGCGGCGACGCGGGCGTGGGAGGACCCGGATGTGGCTCGATCCCAATATGGCGGCGGCAACGGCCGAGTGAGGCCTGGGGGAGCTCGGGGTGGGGGCTGAGGGCGCTCGGGCGGGATTTGGGGGATTTCGGGGGAATCTGGGGTTTAGAGACCCACCGCGGCCAAGGAATTTTGTGGTAATGGTGGGAGGCTGGGGGTGGATTTGAGGGGGAATTGGGGGCCCCCGCATCACCGGGGGGGGCGGCGGCAACAGCCTTGGGAAACCCTGGAATTTGTGGAGAGCCTCGGGATATGGATCTAACGTCCCCCGCCCTAAAAACATGCTAAATGGCGCGGTTTAGGGTCATCCTGAGGGAATTCCGTTCTTCCCGTGCAGCCCTTTTCCCGGAAGACTCGGAATGCGGAGCTGAGGGAGGAAAGTTTTCCCTTTCTGGAAGGTAGGAAACGTATCCGAAAATAATTTCCAGAATTCTTCATTCCAAGGGGTGTGGCGGTCTCCTCCTGACGCTCCCACCCGGCCCCAGAGCACTGGGGTGGATTTTTCCAGCGTTTCCTGTGCATCTGGGTCAGGAACTCCAAGGCACACGGCCATGGGATTCCTCAACGATGTCCTAGCTCCTCAAAAACAGTGTTTTTTTCCCCCATTTTTGGCGCAGTAGTAAGGGAAATTGCCGTTCCCAATGTTTTTGTGGTGTTCCTTTCACCGTTCCTCAAAGGAAAAGAAGAAAAAAAAAACAGGAAAAGCTTCTGGATTTGGGTTTTTAGATGTGTTTTCCTCATAATTTAGTTAATTCTGTAATAAGGAGTGGTGGGATAGAGGGACTGACCTGGGACAGGTGTGGAAATTTGGTTCATGGGAAATATTCAGATGTGGAAAAGATCCAGCAATCCTTAGGAAATGGCCAAAAACTTCACTCTCCCGCCATTCCCTTTTGGGGTTTGGGGGTAAAAAGTGGAAATTTGGTCTCCAGCATCTCGTTGGTGGCTGCAGATCAAGCATTAGGGTTTTGCTCTGGGTTGCTCAGGAATTGCTCTGGGTTTTCCAACCTAACCCGTTCCCATGACTTTAATCAATCTTTTAATTTATTCATCCCTCTGGGATGAAACCTGGGTTCCCTGGAGCCCTGGGAGGGTTGTCTGGAGGTATTCCTGAAGCAGCCTTCAGGGAGGGATTTGCTGTTTTCTTGGATTTTGGTGAACTGGATCTTTATGGATGGACAGGATTACTGATTAACTGGATCATCATTCATTGGCCCTCCCTTTGCCCCGGGGTGGAGATTCCCAACGTTCCTCCCTCCCTCTCCCTGCACTTCCAGTCTCTTCCTGCTTCAGGAAAAAAGTTGAATTCTGCCAGAATTCCTCCTTTTCGTTTCTTTTTGCTTTTCTCTTCTCCTCCTTTGTCTCTCTCCTTTTCTGACTCTTTCCTCCTTTCCCTCCTCTCTGCCTTCCTCCCCCTTCCCTCCCTACCTGATTTTCCTAGCGATCACAGAAGCTTTGAGCTGTTGATTCCCTTTTCCAGAGAGTTTGGATCTCCCGATTCCCTTCCCAGAATTTTTCCCTGAAGGAGGAAATGATCCCCATTTGGGGGACCTTTGAGCTTTCGAGGCTCCTTGTGGATCACGAGATTCCAGGAATTCTGGTATTCTTCCTGGAATTCCGGTATTCCTGGAATATCATCCTCCTCCTCCTCCTCCTCCTCCTCCTCCTCCTTCTCCTCCTCCTCCTCTGGCAGATCCAGTTGGGCCAGTCCGACTCACCTTTCCCGGCCAGAACACTTTGGTCCCAGCCTTCCCGGCCTCCGTTTCCCTGGGAATGTGACCCCACTGCAGGGAATCTCGGGATTCCAGCCCAGGGAATTCACCCATAGGTCGGGGACCCACCTGGTGATGCTTCCGGGGTTTTGGCTTTTTTTAAGGAAAACAACATCTCGGAGCAACCCCAACACACTTCCAGCAGGATCTGCCTGGGATTGGGAATACTTGCTTTCACCTATTCTGCCAGAATCCCGTGAGTTTGTGGGATGCTATGATCTGTCCCTGCTTTGTTAAGGAGCTGGTTCCCAAGGATCCTAAATTATAACCAGGGGCTCTGAAGGTGGAAGCTTTTCATGGAAGATGTGAAATTGGAGGGTATTGAGTCTCTTCCTATTCTGGCTGACACCAGTAAAATAATTCCCCAAAAGAAAAAGAAAAAAAAAAACAGCTCAGGGATTTTTCAGTGGAGACTTTGGCTCTTCCTGTGTCCTACCAAAAGGATCAAATCTAGCGTGAGCTCAGGATTTGGGGAAATCTAGGGGGAAAAAAGAAGAGGAATAAGCAGTGGGAATACAAGGTCAGTTTTTCATCTGGTGGAATTTTCTCACCACGTCCCCCAAAATGGGATCCCGGGAAGGCTCCAGAGCAGGTAGTCCCTAGGAATCCCCTTGGGATCAGCCCCAGATCTCCCTGGGAGCTCTCCCCAGATCTCTGGTCTTCCCTGGGCTCTCTGGTTCCATAGGGGCCAGGTTGGAATTTTAGGGGAAATGGGGCAATTTGGGCCAAAGAGAGGAGTGATGGAATGGATGGACCGGCTCCACCCAGGGGAAAAAAAAAAGGGCAATATTGGAATTTAGAAAGCAGGATGAAGCCAAATGCCACGTCTAGAATGCAATGATGCCAGCCTGAGAATTTGGTTTCCTAAAATTCACCCAGCTCCAGACTGAACACTCTGAAATTTGCTGAAAATCCCATTTCAATCCCTTCCTGGGCACTCTCCTGCTCAGTAACATGAGATTTGCTTGGATTTGGGGTTTATGGGAGGGCTGGAAACACCTCTGTGTGCTTTTTTCCCCCTTTACTTTTCCCTTTGTTTTTCATCTTGAGGGTGTCAGCATGATTCCCACCAGGACACAGGCAAAATACCACTGGTTTGGGGGGAATTTGAGGAATTTTGTGGGCAATTCTAGGGAAAATAGGAGAACAATCTGCCTGGTGTGGACTTGATTCCTTGTTTATTGGTGACTAATTAAACCCCTCTGAGATCCCAGGACTGCAACCTGGAAAAGGGTGAGGAATAAGGAAGACAGGGTTCACTTCCTCCTGCCCCCCATCCCATACTCTGGAATTCTTCAGAATACCTCTGCCCTCACCATGTGCCCCCAATTTTTCCCCAACCATCCCAAAAGAAAGGGGATTTTGGGTGTGAAATCAGGTGGATTTGATGTCTAGAGGCCCTGGATGCTTCACCTCCCCAATGTTCTGGCTGACCTGGATCACCCTTGGATATTTCCCATGGAATTCCCAGCAGGAAAAGCCCAGATGCAGCAGATATTAATCCTCCTGCTGCAAATTCAGTTGCGATTTCCCCAAACCTGGAGAACTTTCCATCCAAAAATGTGATTTTGGCAATCCAGGGAAGATTCTGGTGGTGTTCTAGAAAAGTGGAAGGACTAGAATGAACAGGGAAAATGGAGAATATATGGAATTCTGACAGTTTTTCACTGGGGTCCAATTGGAGGAGGAGAAAAACTTCCCTAATGGATCATTGACTTAAGGAGAAAACCTCAAAGACTGGGAAAAACGGTGAGAAAACTTTGGAAGCAGTGGGATTCTGGAGTCTGGAAAATGGTGTTAAGACAAGGAGCCAGAAAAAAAATGAGAGGAAACAGCAGGAAATTGACACCGGGAAAAGCAGCGGAAGTGGGAAAAAGGGACCCGCCCAGGATCCGCAGGACTTTGGGGCCTTTTCTAGTGGGATTTGTGGCTTCACTGGGATCACATTTCCAAAATCCTCCCAGCTCAACTTGTCCTGGGCCTGGAAACTGCAGGAAATACATGGAAAAGCAAGGAATTAATACAGCCAGAATGCTCAGATTGTGCCCCAGATCAATAATCACACCACCGGGATCCCAGAAAAAGGGGGTTGTTTTGGCTTTTTGCAGTGCTTCAAAGCTGTTTCATCTGTTTGTTAGTCCAGATGAGGTAATCAATGGATTAATCTCATTTCTGAGCGGGAATTTCTGGCACTCCTGGTGTTTCCAAGCTTGGAATTAGGGAAAAATGGGAAGTAATTGGATTAAAGGTGGGGATGTTGGACAAAGTGGCCAAGGGATGGGTAAAAAATCATTCCAGCAATGGGATTTTGGGGGCTGATCCCATCCCCACACAATGCATTTCATCCTGACAGTGTTTTCCCGTTTACCTTATTATAATGCTGCAATTTTGCATCTGATCCCATCCATCCCAAGGCATTTCATCCCAACAACATTTCCAATTTATTTCATTCCAATGGTGGGATTTGGAGGCTGATCCCCTTCCCAGTGCCATTCCCCATGGTAATGCTGGATTTCAGGGGCTGTTTCTGTTCCCAATGACATTTCCCATTGTAACTCTGGATATTGAGGGCTGATCCCATTCCTGATGAAGTTTCCCCTTTCCCTCATCCTAACGCTGGGATTTTTGGGGCCTGATGCCGTTGCCAGGAGCACATCCCAGGCCATGTTCTCCAAGAAGAAGAAGCGGGTGGAGATCTCGGCGCCGTCCAACTTCGAGCACCGGGTGCACACGGGGTATGACCCCTCGGAGCAGCGCTTCACGGGACTGCCCCGTCAGTGGCAGGGCCTGCTCGAGGAGTCCGCTCGGCGCCCCAAACCCCTCGTGGACCCCGCCTGCATCACTGCCATCCGCGGGGCCCACAAGGTGCGGAAAACTGGGAATATTGGGAATTCAGGGAGTTGTGGGGTGGGAAGGGCATGGCTGGGTCACCGTTCTGGGTTTGGAGGAGGCAAAGCGGTTCTGGGCACTCTTTGGGGTTGAATTGGGGGCAGTTTGAGGATCTTGGAGCGAGAAAATTATGGGATACTTCAATGTTCAGGGAGAATTTGGGGGCCGTGGAGCAGGTAGGGAGTTGCTGGCCACTCTTGGGGGTCAAAAAGCCAAACTGGGGGGAATTTGGTGGTCACAAAGCAGGGAGGTGGGAGCTGGGTCCCTGTCCCCTTCCTACCTCCCTAAAATTGGGGAGTCATGGACCAGGGGATTTTGGGATCATGGAGCAGGGAGTGGGGAGGCAGGGGCTTACACAGTCCCCAGGACAGGTTTGGGGGAATTTGGTGTCTTGCAGTACGTAAGGGGGTCCTGGATGCCCTTTAGGGTCAAACTGGGAGGAATTTGGGGGTTCTGGGGCAGGGAATTTCAGTATAATGGATCAGAGAGGCTGTAGATGGGTCCCTACCCCTTTCCCACCCTCCCAGAAAACCTAATTGGGGGCAATTTGGGGATCATGGAGCAGGGAGGTGATGGTTGGATCCCCCAGGACAGGGACCACCCAGGTGAGACTCCCTCCCCACACCTGGAACCAGCCTATCCCATTGGAACTCAGGATCATTCCCACCTGATTTCATCCCCATTGTGTTTATTCCAATTTGTTTAAGGCTCCAAATCAGTGACCCCTCATTCCCACAGCCCCCCCATTCCCACATCCACCCATTCCCACCTCAGTTCTGACAGTTCAGTTACCCCAGTTCCCACCCCATCAAACCCCCCAGTGTTTTGGGACCTTCCTGGTCGTTGAGGCGGAACCCCAATCCCCGGGGGGCAACCAGGAATCATTCTGGGATCTGGGACAGTCCCCGGAGGGATGCTCCAGCCAAGCCACTTCCCCTCTGCCTGTCCCGCCATGCCCCTGCAGCCATTCCATGTCATCTTTCTGTTGTTTTTTTCCCCTTCTTTCCCCTGTTTTCCCCTGTATGTTCCCCCCAACCCCCACTTCCCGCAGCCCATTGTGCGTGGCTCCAAAGGGACCCGGGATGGCACCCCTGGGGGCCGGGACGGGACCCTGGCGTGGCTCCTGGATGAGCTAGAGGCCGTGTCTGTGACCCGCTCCAACTCCCTGCGTCGGGACAGCCCCCCCTGCCCCTCCCGGCACCTCCCTAAGAACGGCCTGGCCCCGGGGCTCCCCCATTCCCACCCGGAGCCTGGCAAGAGCCGCCACCACCATGGGGACGCGGAGCCACGACCTCCCCAGACCCGGGAGCGGGAGGACCCCAAAGCTGCAGCTGGGCGGGAGCCCCCCCACCCCTCCGGGGGTCGCCCCAAATCCAGCTCAGCTGGAGAGGGGCCCCCCCGGCCCCCACCCCGTGAGCAGCGCCCACTCTCAGGGTCTGACCTGCGGCCCCCTGAGATTCCCGGCGTTCCTGGCGCTCCCGGAGTGGGGCTGAAGACGGCGCCCGGACGCCCCTTCCACACGTACCCCCGCGCCGACACCGACCCCAGCCGGGGGGGCAGCGCCCAGGTAAAGGGGTGCCCCCAGGCTCTTCCTCATCTTCCTTTTCCTCTTCCTGCTCTTCTTGCTCTTCCAGAGCCAGTTCTCTGCTCTTCTTCTTCATGGCTTCCTGTGCTCCAATGCTGAGATCAACAGCAGCTTCCTTCCCTGAGGTCACATCCTTGGCTCTGGAGCTGTTTTCTCTTCTTCTGCTTCCTCTTTCTCGCTCTGCTTCTCCTGTTCTTCCTCAGAAGCAGCTTCTCTGCCCCTGTTCCTTGCAGCTTCCCAGAATTGGGGTGTTTGGGGGTTCTCCCCTGCCCAGTGCTGCGTCCTCAGCACCAAAACAGCTTCCTCTTCCTTGCTCTGCCTCTTCCTTTCCTCCTCCTTGGAAGCAGCTCCTCTGCTCCTCTTCCTAACAGCTTCCCGTATCCCAATAAGAATCGGGGCATCCTGAAGGCCACCGACTCTGCACTTCCTTCCTGGTGCTGTGACTGTGGCTCCGGTGTCTCTTCCTCTTCCTTCCTCAAGCCTTTCCCTCTGACCTCTGTCCAGAGGCCCTGGCACTGGCCCCTGACATTCCCATGGGAATTCCAGGGGCTGATGCCCCTCTCCCCTGTCCCCACAGGCCGAGCACCGCCCGGGACGCCTGCAGGAGGTCACCCCCAATGGACCGGTCCCCACCGGTGCTCCCAGTGCCTCCCACGCCCCTGGCCCCCCGTGCCCTCCCAAAGCCCTGGAGCCGCCTCCCCCTGCCCCAGACCCCGCAGCCCCACGTCCCTCTGGCCCTGCTCCTGCCCCGTTGGGGGGACCCCAGCGTGTGTCCCATGAGCAGTTCCGGGCAGCGCTGCAGATGGTGGTGGACCCTGGCGACCCCCGCACGTACCTGGACAACTTCATCAAGATTGGCGAGGGCTCCACGGGCATCGTCTGCATTGCAACTGTGCGCGGCTCTGGCAAGCTCGTGGCCGTCAAAAAGATGGACTTGCGCAAACAGCAGCGGCGGGAACTGCTCTTCAATGAGGTGAGGGTGGGGGGCAGTCCTGGGGACTTGGGGGTCCCCCTTGAGAGCCTTGGGGACCTTTGGAGAGACTTGGGAAAACTTGGAGACACTTGGGAAAACTTGGAGAGACTTGGGGACCCTTTGAGAACCATGGAGACCACTAGGCAGATTTGGGGATGGCTCAGAGACCCTTAGAGACCCCTACAGATCTCAAAGACCCTTGGGGACTTCATAGAGGCACTTCAGAGACCCTTGGGGAAGCCCTGAGAGCCCCCTCAAAGCTCCTGAAGGACCGCTTGGTGACCCACTGGGGATGTCCCAATGCCCTGGGGACCCTCTGTGGACAGTCCCAGGGTGCCACCCTTGTGTCGTCCCCTGCCCAGGTGGTGATCATGCGGGACCACCAGCACGAGAACGTGGTGGAGATGTACAACAGTTACCTGGTGGGTGACGAGCTCTGGGTGGTCATGGAGTTCCTGGAGGGTGGTGCCCTGACCGACATCGTCACCCACACCAGGTGACCAGGCGGGACAGGGGTGGCAGAGGCGATGGGTGACTGAGCTGACAAGGGGGGAGTGACAGAGGTGACAGGGGCGATGACAGGATGCCGTACCCAGGATGTCCGAGGAGCAGATTGCAGCCGTGTGCCGCTCTGTGCTGCGGGCGCTCGCCGTGCTCCACTCCCAGGGCGTAATCCACCGTGACATTAAGAGCGACTCCATCCTTCTCACACACGACGGGCGGGTAGGAACCCCCAAAAATCCCTCCCAAAACCTCCACCCTGGATCCTTTGGGATTCTGCCTCGACCAGCCCTGGCCCCATTGGCAGGTTAAACTCTCAGATTTCGGGTTCTGCGCCCAAGTGAACAAGGAGGTGCCACGGCGCAAGTCCCTGGTGGGCACCCCCTACTGGATGGCCCCCGAGCTCATCTCCCGCCTGCCCTATGGCCCTGAGGTGTGTCTGAGGGCTTGGGGGAGTTTAGGGGGTCCTGGGGTGCTTTAGCGGGTGTTTAAGGTGGGTTTCATGGGTGTTGGGGTGGGTTTAGCAGGGTTGGGGAGGGTATGTGGACCCCCAAGTTCATCTCCTGCCTTCTTTACCACCCTGAGGTATGTTATGGGGGGTTTGGGATGGGTTTAAGGGTAGCTGGGGTGGGTTTGGGGAGCACATGGTGAGTCTGGGATGAGTTTAGGGGTGCCCAGCATGTGTGGAAGTACCAAGGGTATGTTTGAGGGGCTCCAGGTGGCCTTCTTTCCAAACCCCCCTTCATTTTTGTGGTTTCACTTCCCCCGCAGGTAGACATCTGGTCCCTGGGGGTGATGGTCATCGAGATGGTGGATGGGGAACCCCCTTATTTCAACGAGCCCCCACTCAAAGCCATGAAGCTGATCCGGGACAACCTCCCACCCCGGCTCAAGAATGGCCACAAGGTGACTGGGGAGAGGGTGTACCCGTTTTCTGGGGACTGCCAGGGGGCATCTCACAACATCCTTTCCATCCCTCTCCAGGTGTCACCATCGCTGAAAGGGTTCCTGGAGCGGATGCTGGTGCGGGACCCGGCACAGCGGGCGAGTGCCCCAGAGCTGCTCCGCCACCCATTCCTGGGTGTCGCGGGCCCCCCTGCCTGTATTGTACCCCTCATGCGGCAGCACCGGCTGCGGTGAGACCCCCCCACCCTGGGGGAGACTCCCTGGACCCCCTTCTGCGCCTCCTCCTGCTCCTTCTCCTCGGCGCCACCCCCAAACTGGAGCAGGACTGGGATGTTCCTGGAAGGCACTGCTGGGGGGTGCTGGCCCCCTGACCTGTACTACTGAGCTGGGGACCCCACAGCAGAGATTTGAAGGGGTAGCTGCCATCCCAGAGTTTTGAGGGTGCAGGGGCTCATCCCGGTGCCCCCTGCCTTTGGGACCCATTTTGGGGCATTTTCTCCTTTTTTTGTTTCTTTTAGCCCCATCTTTTCTATTCCCCTCAGGCAACAGGGTATTGCCCCCCTACATCTCCATGACGGGGGGTCCCCAAAACTACAGTCCCCTTCCTCCCCCCACCACAACACACCACACTACTGATTCGGGGTGTGTCCCCCCTGCCCAGACCCTCCTTGCCTTTGTTTTGTTTTTGTTGATTTGGGATTTTTTTCTGTTGGTCCCTTCCACGAAAACTCCCCCCTGCCCCCACAGTCTTGTTTTTTAACGAAGTGATATTTATATGGTCGGGTTTTGTACTGCACAGGACGGGGGGCCCCTGGGGGGACATGGGGGACCCCCCCCAAATTACATGTGTCCTTTTGGAACACCACCAAGTGCTGTGTGGTTTTTTGGGGGAGTGGGTGAGTACACAGCAGGGGCCACTTCCCACATCCCCATGGGGTAGAGGGCATGGGGAACCCCTTCTCCCATCCAGAGACCCACTGGGGGGGCTGGGGACCCTCCCCAATAAAGGACCCCACAGGCAGGAGCTGCTGCTGCCTCAGGGCTTTATTGACTGCACAGTGGGCGGCAGGGGGGGTGCGGTTGCATCGGCCTACGGGACACGCAGGTTCCATAAGGGGCATTGTCCTTGGCGTGGCTTGGCCCATGTTGACTCACGTTGACAAAGGCTGACTTGCTTGGCCCGGCTTGGCATATGTTGGCCATCAAGATGGTGGGTCCTGGCCAACATTAGCTCATGTTGATTTGTCTTGGCTACTGTTGGCTCGTGTTGGCCCGTGTCAGCTCGTCTTCGAGCTCACATCGGCATCTCTTGGCCAACTTGGGCATGGTTTGGCCCACGGCTCATCTTGAGCTGTGCTGCCTCACAGTGACCCATGCTGGCACGTCTTGACCCACACCGGCTCACGTTGATCCACACCAGCTCACGTTGACCCACGTTGTCTCACGGCACCTCTCATTGCCTGGCCTCAGCCCCCACTCCCCGGCACTGCCCCCGCTGCCTGCCCCGTGCTGCCACTCACTTGCAGGTGCAGTAATAGCCCCGGATGGCATCGTTCCAGTCCCCGAAGAGCCCCCGGCGCACCTCCTGCAGCCGCGGCCAAGCGCCAGCACTGAAGCGTCGTGACTTGCCCTTCTTGGCTTTGCGCGACCACACGGTCAGCTCGCATCTGGTGCCCACCACGAGGGAGGAGGCGCGGGCAGACCAGCCACGGGGCATGTAGGGCGCGTCGCTGCCCGGTGGCACCACCAGCACCTCCCCGGCGCAGCACTGGTCGTAGTAGGGGCTGTTGTCAGCATAGAGCTGGGCGCACACCCGCGTGCCGTTGGCAGGGCGCAGGTCAGCAGCCGTGGGGCACTGGGCGTCTGCCCGCTGGCCCAGCATGGCCACCGTGGCCACCAGCGTGAACAGCAGTGCTGACACCATCGCTGTCACCTCCTGGGCTCCGTCAAGGCCTCCGCGTTTGCTTATAGCCCAGCCCAAGGCCAGGGGGTGAGGCCTGCCTGGGAGGGGACCCAGGTGTGCAGCAGCTCCTCGGGAAGGGACACAGGTGTAGGGGAGGCCTCAAGGTCTGCAGGTACCCCCACCTTCCCCCACCATGAGAAGGGACACAGGTGTGCTGGGACCTCCCCCTGGCTGTGCCCTCTGTATGAGAGGGGCCAGGACCCCCCAGATCTAGCCTACCCCAAGGCGGGACACGGGGTTGGGATTTGCCCAGTCTCTGCAGCCCCCTGCAGGAGGGGCCCAGGTGTTGAAGACCACCCCCAAGAGAGGCCTCAGGTGTTGCGGACCCCCCACCCCAGGGCAGGCTCCAGGTGTTGTGTCCCATCCCACCACATGGCAAAGGACCCAGGTGACCTCCCCGGCCCCTGAAACCTCACAGTGGCCTTGGGGAGTGGGGAGGAGCCAAGTCAAGGTTGGGGCCCAGGTGCTCTGTATGCGAATGAGGGCATAATTAGTTGGGTCTTTTGCTGATAAGCTATACCCCCTATTTGCATATCCAGGATCCCAGTCCTGGACCCACTGAGCTCCCTCCTCCCCCGACCCGTGACGGGTCCTCATGGCAACTACAGGGGGTGGGGAATTGCACCTCATTAGCACAGTCCAGACCTGCCCATATTGTAGGGTGGGAAGAACAGATGGGGTGGGGGAGGCTAGGGAGAACTCGTATGGGCTGCCCCGGTCCCGGGCAGAGACCMCCCCCCCCCCCCAGTCAGAGTCCACCCTAAACTGAGAGGGACCAGCTCCCCCCATTCACATACGCGTTTCTGCCCCAGGGGGCCACAGGTTTTTAATGTAAAAACTCGTGTTAAACACTGCGGGGGGGCCCGAGGGGGGCGGCTGGTGGGGGAGTGGTTTTTTGGGAAAGGGGAGG